CTGTGGTCCCAGCTACTTGGGAGGCAGAGGCAGGAGACTCGCTTGAGCCCAGGAGTTGGAGGTTGCTGTGAGCTGTAATGCCACGGCACTCTGCTCAGGGGGACAGCTGGAGGCTCTGTCTCAAAAAAAAAATAAAATAAAATAAAAAAATAAAAGTAAAGCACTCTACTGTGAGGGTGACATAGTGAGACTGTCTGAAAAAAATGTTCTGTTAAAAATTTTATTGTATTCCAAGCACTTTTATAATTCTCATAACCCCAGACCTAGGTAATCAGTAACACCTTAATTCCTTTTTTATTTATTTTTAGTTTTGTAGACAGAGTCTCATTCTGTCACCCGGGGTAGAGTGCCATGCACTGTAGCTCATTAGCAACCTCAAATTCTTGGGTTCAAGCGATCCTGTTGCCTCAGCCTCCCAAGTAGCTGAGACTACATGCACTATCCATGGTGGCTGGCTAGTTTTTAGTAGAATTGGGATCTTGCTTTGGGCTCAGGCTGGTCTCCAGCTCCTGATCTCAAGTGATCTTGCCTTGGACTCCCTGAGTGCTAGGATTACAGGCATGAGTCACTGCACCCAGCTATACATTATTTCTTAATCAACCCTGAATAGTTTGCCAACATTTGTATGATATCAATCCAGAAGTCTTTTTTTTTTTGCCCTGCAGTTTTTGGCCAGGGCTGAGTTTAAACCCACCACCTTTGGTATATGGGGCCAGTGCCCTACTCCTTTGAGCCACAGGCACCACCCAAATCCAGAAGTCTTGTTGGCATCTCCGTTTCACACATTTTGTCCTGATCTCAGAGAGATCAGTAACATCTCCAATATCATTGCTGGGAAGCCCCACCAAACTGATACTCAAAAGCATATACACTGGTTGTTAACACAAGTTAGAATGACAATCAACCAACTCCCACCTACTGAGTCGCCCTATAACTTCCTGATGTGACCTTCAGCAACTTCCTACCGACTTTTTTTTTTTTTTGAGACAGTGTCTTACTATTTTGCCCTTGGTAGAGTGCTGTAGCTGTAGTGTCACGGCTCACAGCAACCTCAAACTCTTGGGCTTAAGCGATTCTCTTGCCTCAGCCTCCCAAGTAGCTGGGCCTATAGGCACCCGTCACAACACTCGGCTATTTTTTGGTTGCAGTTGTCATTGTTGTTTAGCAGGCCTGGGCCAGGTTTGAACCCGCCGGCCTCAGTGTATGTGGCTGGCGCCGTAACCACTGTGCTAATGGACACCAAGCCAGTGAGCTACATTTTTATCATAAATGCTAAAGATGACATTCTTGGTAAAAGTGGGTTCATATTCTCATTTTTAACAACTACTGAAAAAATTGATTCCCAAAAAGTGTATTTCCAAAAATGTCTTTACAGCATCCAAATATCCCTCACACTTACTATTTAGTTTTTGAAGCCACGCTGGATTTCTAGCCATTTTACATTTGATTGTCAGTAGATCAAACTTTCTGCAATTATCTTTATCATAAAATTCAGTCAACATGTCCTTGGGACTTCGGAGAAGTGAGCAAAGTAGTTGCTCCCAGACTCACAGCTGCCCAATAACACCCATTTGCCCAAAGAGTGGGAGAAGAGCCAAACGCTACTGTCGTAGAAAGTATAGAAGTTTTTGATTAATTATATAAATTTCGATTTGCCATGCCGTATTTGGCCCCATATAACAAAGGTGGTGGGTTTAAACCCAGCCCTTGCTCACCTCCAAGCTGTGATGTTAGATCTTCTGGCTAACTATCAGTAACATTTACCATAATTATGCCCCCAACGTCATATTCAGATTTATATAGCACCTCAGTTAATTATCACAACACATTTTGGTTTCCTTGTTGCCTAAGCACACAGTTTTCTCAAACATACAGTGCACAAACTTCCAAATTCCGTGTTCTTTATCTCAGTCCACAGCTCCTGAGGCTTGAAACAAAGTGTAAACGCATGTGCCACCCAGTTGCATTGAAAGAGGGGTGTTGAGAGGATTAAAAGATAACCACACCAGTTCATAACGATAGGCCATTATTGCTGAAGAGGAGAGATCCCTTAACCCTCTTTCCTCCCCCCGTTCTCCCCTCTTTACCTTAAGGAACTTGGTCTTTCAAGGATTAATTTTTTTCTTACCAGTCTCTGTGAGGGGCACCTCTGTAGAAGCCATTTGCAAGGATGGATAATTTTCTTCATGCCCACAAATCACAGGCATTGAAGAACAGTCACTAGAATCAGATGATTCAGGGCAAGGCAGCCTTTGGGAACACGCAGGATTCATACTCATGTTATTAAGAAGGGGAAAAATTAAAGAGTTGAACTGTTTAAAAAAAAAAAAAGGCTAACACTTAAAATACCTAAATAAAATCTACAGAAAAAGATCCAAAAGCCAGGAGGAAGAGCGTCCCCTCCGCAAGAGCAGGAGGCAACCAGCTCAATCCAGCAAAATGGTCAAATCTACGAGTCTCTGGATTTATAAGGAAGCCTCTTAACCCCTCAGACCCTCCCCTCCTGGAAGCCCCACACCCCCACACACCCTTGTGAATTCTCAGTTAATACCGTCTGCCAGCCTCACCAAGGCCATTGAAATGCAAAGGTGGCTGTGGAGCAACCCGGACGAGGCGGAGGAACTTGAAAACTGGAACCCCTAGACAAGAAGTCGAAATGGAAGATTTCTAGGTTCACCACGTTTGTGCCTTTTAAACCAGCGACATACCTTCAATTCCTGAGGTTAATGAAATTCTCACTAAAACAGGTGATTTCTTAATTTGTGCTCCCTGAGGGTCTCAAAGAAATCTGCCCAGTTTGGGCAGAAACTTAAAAGCAGCTCCATTTTCCTCCTTTATGATGACCCTGAGGTTATAATACAACACAGACAGCATGTAGCTGAGGCCTCAGTCGATGTTTTTTAAAATGGTCCTTGTTTTCGACTCCCACCACACCTCCTCATTTTTAGCTTTAAGACAGACAGGAAAGTGTTTCCACCAGGACAAACTTTCCACTCAAGATCGTAAACGGTGTAAAAGGAAAAAAAAGAAAAATACATAAAAATGCTAGAAGAAAGGAGCTGTGACCTGCTGACTTATGCATCTGCCATTACTATGGAAGGAAGTTTTAAATTAATTTTTGCATACAAGTTACTCAGTAGGGCTGGGCACCTGAAGTTCAGTGGTTACGGTACTGGCTACATGCACTGGGGCCGGCGGGCTCGAACCCAGCCTGGGCCTGCTAAACAAACAAAAATAGCCGGGCGTTGTGGTGCGTGTCTGTAGTCCCACATAGGGAGGCTGAGGCAAGAGAATCCCTTGAGCCCAAGAGTTTGAGGTTGCTATGAGGTATGACTCCACAGCACTCTACAGAGGGTGACAAAGTGAGACTGTCTCAA